TTTATATATATATATATATATATCAGTAGATAATAAATGCAGATATACAACTCTCATACAACTAAGACAAAAGTCTGTTATACCATCATCGTGATGTAGCGGCAGCTTCAAGGGGTTCTCCAGCAGGGATTTCAGCACTCCGTACGTTGGAGGTAAAAAAGTTGGGTTGAGCGGTAAGACCCTGGTCATCTTCTCCATCTTGGTGCAGATGCTTCAAGGCGACAACCCCAGGATATTTTGCTGTGGCTGGGCACCGGGTAATGCCGATCTGTATGTGTGTGTGCAGTCCAGTAACCTGTCACACTTGTGCTCCTCACTCTCTGGCTGCAAATACAAATCTGTGCTGCCAGCCTGCGATCATCCCCTTCTCCATGTGCAGCAGCAGACAGGTGTGACATCACGGACACGCCCCCTTCCTCCTTAATAGGAATAGTTGGGAGGGTTCCCATACTGTTCCACTTACTGTACAGAGATTTCCTGGTTCTAGTCGCCACCTCGGCACGATTTTTGCTTGCTTGCTTCCGAACGCTCTCTTTGCCGGTGAATAAATAAATCTGACGGTTAAAGTGGATTGAGGAGCTGTGCTACAAAAATAAATAAATAAAGACTGTATTCATTCTTTGCTACAATGTGGACGGATATTGTTATATTGAATTTATTGTACAAATGGCAGAAAATGATCTGATGAAAAAGATTGTAACTCATCCAATCACAGTTTATCAAGACTATAAAGGGTCATATCTTCGCATCTGCATTTTCCTTCCTTTTTTGTGTGTTTTTGATGCGCGTTGACGCATTTTAAGGTTTGTCGATACACATTTTAGGCTATATTGATGCACATTTTAAGATGCCTTCACGCACGTTTTAAGATGCATTGACGCACATTTTAAGGCACGTTGACGCACATTTTAAGGCACGTTGATGTACATTTTAAGGTATGTTCACAAAGTGGCGTCACAAGGGGGGTGCGGCCCGCACACGGGTGACACCATTGGAGGGGTGACACCAAAATGACTGACAGTCACTTGGTGTCACCCCCTCTAAAAAGTCAGGCACTTGGTCATGGACCGAGAGCCCGACAGTGTCAGGAGAGAGGAGGGGACCCGGGACCCTATCCCGCCGGGTGACGTCCCCTCCTCTCTCTGCCGGCGTTCATCACCAAGATAACCGCTGGCAGGCATCAATTAGACTGTCGCGCATGCGCGATGACATCACGGCGGGGTGTCACCCGCTCTCCGGTCCGGGTGACACCCGGCCTCGGGACGCCCCAGTGTTCACACATTTTAAGGCACGTCGATGCACATTTTCCTGTGCTCTGCATTTTTTTGCTTGGCCAGTGAAAGTGGGGGGGATGGGGAGCTTGGTGTGAACAAAATGCATGAAAATGCATGTTGCATGCATTTTTGTTTTGTGTGTGCTGTCATTGATGTCTATGGGGCACCTTAATCTTGTAAAAATAAATAAATACACAAATACATTTTATAATGACATTTTATTTCACTTACACATAACTTCACCAGCAATATCACTAAAACTGCAGCAAAGTCTGGAACAGCTGAGCATGGCAACCAATCAGCTTCCAGCTTAAGTTTTGTTCAGTTAAGCTTCGAAAACGAAAGCTGGAAGCTGATTGGCTGCCATGTACAGCTGCTCCAGTCACAGTACTTTCCCTTTTATGTATCTACACTAGACATGTGCGATTTGTTTCCTGGACAAATTTTCCAAAATTCGGACAGATCCGAATTTCCGAATCCCAATGCATCCGAATGTGTCCGAATCCTAATTTCCGTTTCCGAATTTCGTTCAAAAACTAAACTGAATCGGACATGTGACTTTTCTGGCCAATCCGATGTGTTTTTTGGTTTGATGCATCCGAATGGGTCTGAACACAAATTTTTGTTACGGCAACATGGGAGCCATATACAGTATGTACATATAATACTAAAGCTGAAGCTCCTAGACCCGATTTTGGTATCAAGTACCCATATTATTTTTCCGGTACTCACCGATACCGAATACCGAGTACCGGAAGTCCAATTCAAGAAGCCAGGCGTCGTGTAATGACTGGCCACCTGATTAGCAGGGAAGCTGTCTCCATGCTTCTCGTCACTATCTGACGAGAAAGCATGGAGGCGGCTTTCTGGCCAATCAGGAAGCTGGGCAGCGTGTAATGATGCGCTGCCCGGCTTCCTGATACAGGAAGTATTGGGCTAGGCATCGGAGTATTGGGCTAGGCAGTGTCACTTTATGATCCTTCTCTGTGTCTGGTTAGGTGATTTCCCTTTACTTCCTCTCCCAGAGACACTGCAAGAAATAGGAGGAGATCTTTCCAAAGTTAGGGAGTCGTTCCCCTTTTACAGTTACTACCGGAACCCATCGAAGATTTCTCCTTCACTTTGGTTCCCCTGACAACTCAGAACAAAGACAATGGCCACCAGGACCAATAGCATAAGTATCCTATTCATCATCCGCTGGGCACAACAGTTAACCCTTGTAGTGGAGAGAGGGACATGCTTCAAGTGAAAAGTTTTTCATTGACTGGAACTAAGCTTTAAAGTGGACCCTGCATACTTATATGAAATCATCTGACATTCATTAGCTAAACAAACATATTTTTATGTTACTTACAATTTATTTTGTTCCACTTCCTGGTCCTCTTGTGAACAAATGATGTATTCCTGGCCAAGCGTTGCATCCTGGGAAGGTTACATCAGCGGAACATTGCTGGGAAATCTCATCTCTAATCTCACGAGATCTCAGGGAAAAGCATTTTCCTCCCCTGAGATGATGCTCACATGTCCTAGTCACATGTGCCAGAGTTCCCGGAAGTAAAGGGAGATCTAATAACCTGAAAATGGCCACTGTGAGAAGATTGGGGAAGAAAAGAGAAATAAGGTATGCAAAGAATACAAAAGCCGGCAATTATCTAGAGGTATCTGTGTGTAGATTGTCATTACTAAACATTTCTAAAGGTGCCTTTGTTGTTATTTTGAAGATAAGAGTAACGTTCCTCTTACATACTTTTCTGTATGTTGGCTACCAACCGGCAAAATCCAACTAATAAAATGTACATTTGGTTCCCAACTGATGTGTAGGCTTTGAAAGATTTGTACAATTTTTATGGTATCTACCCCTGAATACTGTTTTGTCATCTGTTGCTGATCTATTTCTTAATAAAAATCTGTTGTTCAAAAAAATGTACATTTGGTAAAAATAAATTGTTCAATCACACCTTAGCGTATTGGAAACTCGCGTTTGCCGCGCGGTTTTACCACGATTTGCGGTAAAAGAAACGCGCAGCAAACGCGAGTTTCCGAGGGGGTATCCGGCTGTATCCTGATGGATACAGCGGGATACGCGCGTTAATACGCCCCAAAGAAGCTCCTGTACTTCTTTGGGCGTATGGTCGTATGGAGAACCATGCCCATAGGCAAACATGGCTTTTTCACCTGTTGCGCGTTTTACCGCGCGTTCGCTCAGGTGTGAACCGGGCCTAAAACCCAGCAAAGTTTCAGATAAAGTCCTAAAAGTACATCATCGTGTTTTGATCTGAAACAGGTGCAAGAAAGTAAAAAAATAAAATTAAAAAAAACAGCTGAAATTATTCCGAGGTTGAGTGTAATTACAAGTCATTATTAGGCTTTTGAAATTTCTGATGGCTGCTGAGTTCTCCTTTGCTCAATGAGAGGGAAAAAAAATGCAGGAGCTTCGTTGGTTTAGAAAGAAACACATTAACCAGTAATTGGAGTCGGTGAATGCGAGCGTACAGCGCCGACGACAAATTGTAGGCAAATCTCGACTGATTACAGCATTTATTTAATCTGACTTTGTTAAAAGCCAATCAGACGAGTAAGACTCGAAGACCCGGGGTGATTCTTGACTTCCTAATCAGCTACACTTGATTTGCGAGAGGCTAAGGCGCTACAAGAACACTAAATAAAGACGGTTACAAACAAAGGGAGACGAAAATGCCAAACGGTCTCGCTCGTTGGAGGGTCCTTCTACTGCTACAAAGAGAAGAGCGCGCAGAGAGCATGAAAGGAGAACTTCCTCTTATCAAAATTACCGGCAAACTCTTATAATATCAGGTTACATCTACTTCTTTACAACGAATCCAGCATTTGGATGCATTCTGTGTAGGGTTCCAATGTAATATTTAGGGACTTGTTTACACTTGGCATCTATTGGCATCTCTTTGACTTTGAAAGCCTGATATTGGATTAGCAGTCCCAAGCTTCTTTATACCCTATGAAAGGTAGGATACCCTGAGCAAGGGGCAAATGTCAGTACAGACAACTAAGATTCCCCTCCTTTCATTAAAACAACCTTTCTTTAAAATGTGCCCTGACTATGCACACCAAAATATTTACATAATCTGATAAAATGCAAATAAAATCATTTTAAAACAAGTCCTCATTCACCTCTGTAGCTATGGGTATTGTGGAGAAATGAATCTTCAAGATTTCGCAACATTGAAATCTCAGCTTATTTTCAATGGACAGCAGATTCTTGGCAATGATAAACCATGAAATCACTAACAACTGCCCCCCACCCACTGAGAGCAGATTCCTGGCAGCCTGATGGCTATAGTCTTTATTGTGATCTATGAGAATGAATTACTTCACAGTACAAGCATCTAAAGAGGTCAGTACAGGCTTGATCTTTTATTCCTTGTCAAGAATATGACAATACAGGTACACTTTGAAGTGAACCTTTTAGAAACTCTACAAGTCTGCATGAATATTTCTCACTGTCCCAATATACAGCAATGGTATTTTGCATAAAAGAGGTGCGCTTTATGCTAAAAACAGTCCTTCAGCTCCAGTCCTTTACTTTGCCTAGGTTGATGTGATGTCATCACTCTGCTGCAGTCAGGAAAATGCATTGCTGCAGTCTCCACTCCCCTCGTGATTATGTCATCGGTCTGCTGCAGTCAAGAAAAGGCTTTTCTTTAGTCTCCACTGCCCTTGTGATTATGTCATCGGTCTCCTGCAGTCAGCAAATGGCATTTCCTTGGTCTCCTCGCCCCCATTTATTACATCATTAATCTGCTGCAGTCAGAAACAGGCATTTCCTCAGTCTCCTCTCCCCCCGTGCTTATGTCATTAGTCTGCTGCAGACAGGAAAAGGCATTTCCTCAGTTTCCTCTCCCCCAGCAATGCCATCAGTCTGCTGAAGTTAGGAAAGGGCATTTCTTCAGTCTCCACTCCCCTTGTGATTATGTTATCAGTCTGCTGCAGTCAGGAAAGGGCATTTCTTCAGTTTCCTTTCCTCCTGTTTTGTAATTAGTCTGCTGGAATCAGAAAAGGGCATTTCCTCAGTCTTCCCTCACCAGTGTTAAAACCACAACATTGTAACTTTGTAG